CTAAGTGAAGACCTAAGAAAACCAGGACAGGTTTAAAAGTACGGTGTGAAACTGACAGCGGCCGGAGGGACGCACGCTTTTCACGCGCGAGTCGGGTCGCTTGAGCCATGCATTGCATGGACAGTCATACCTGGCAACCAGTGATGGGAAAAGGCACTGGTGCATGGACATGAACGGTCATGTATTGACCATGTTGGCTTCATCGTTTTCACACCCGTGTTCTTTTAACAGGGGTGAGCTGACCGGTCTTCATGAGGTGGTCGAGCTGCTCAGCCTTCATGGCCTTTGTGAGGCCGTCTGCGACCATTGTCTTGGTCGAAATCCAGCGGATCTGCGTCGTGGCTTCGGCGGGCAAGCTGTCTGTGTAGGTGGGGTTTCCAACAGACTCACCGCCCCTTCTCCAGACTTCTTGACGAAGACTGGTGAGATCGATGGGCAGACGTTTGTCGCTGACCTCGCCACCTGTGGTGTTCGTGAGGTGGTCGCTCAAGCTGCGGCAATCTGTCAGCCACAAGCTTTTGGTGGAGTCCATGGCCTTCGTGTAGCGCTCATTCTTGGGCGTCTCCGTGGCCTCATTCTTGATCTCATAGATCACCTGCCGGACGTGCTCAGACTCTTCTGAGCCGAGTTGCATGAGTCTGGTCTCTGCTTGGAGGGTGCTCCTGCACACACGGCGGATGGTGTTGGAGTGCCACTCAAGGAGGTAGACAGGGCCAGTGCCAGTGGTGGCAAATGAGGGATTTGCCATGGCCAAGATGCGGCCTGATTCTGACCTGTGACCGGCCACGATGCCTTCTCCGATCGCCTCCACGCTGGCAGCGTGAGAAGCATCATTGATGCTCAGGAGGATGGCACTCTCAAACTCCATGGCTCCTTTGGCATAGAAGATGCCTTTGTTGCGGTCTTGTAGTGCATGATGAAGGAGCTTGTTTGCATCAACTAGGTGCCTCACTTGTGCTGCTTGTTGTCGAGCTTGGAGCTGATTGACCTGGAAGCTTAGGTCTGGGCGGCAAACTCTTGCCAACCAACTGAGGCTGCCGACAACTGAACGCAGCTGGCTGATTTCAGCCGGAGTGGCCACTTCGCCGAGATGTCGGCGTCGTTGTGGGCTGACGTAGATCCGCTTGGTCCGATCTAGGACGCTGGGACATGTGATGGTGATTCCATCTTTCCCTTGGTGGATGATGCGTCCACAGTACTTCAGCTCATCACTTTCCACCAGCCCAAACTTGAACTCAGCCTGAACTGCCTCCATCGTCTTCTGCATGGCCTCTGATCCGGCCCACAGCAAATCATCAACATGACAACCCAGAAGCCCTGCGACTTGGCCTTGTTCGCCAGGAAGGTAGTAGGGCTTCAGGCCGTTGCGAAGCAGGGTATCATGGAGGGCTTTCCAGAATCCTCTGGGCGCATCTCGTGTCCCGTAGACGCTCTTTCTGGCCACAAGCAGACTGCCAGGTTGCACTTCAGCGTCAGGGATGCCTCCTTTTGGCAATGACATTGCCAGGACACGTGTGATGCCAGTGCCCTGCAGGAAGGCGGCACTGATGTCTCCGGCTCTGAGCCGGGTGCCAGTGGCTGCTGCCAGGCTGATGATCATTTGGAGGATCAGCTGGGATGTCGTGGGCGAATCAGTGCGGAGGTCATTGTTCTTCTCAAGATCACCTCGCACAACAAGGCGACTCTTCCAGCGAGGTTCTTCGTGCTGTTCAGCCTTGTTCACATCTACCCAACGGGTAGGCAGGATCACTGCTTCAGGGTGATCGGCCAGGAACTTCTCCTTTTCATCAGGAGGGACAACGAAGACTGCCTCGAACTGCTTCCAGTTGTTCCACTCCTTGCCTCTGGTGCCGTCCAGGGCTTTCTTCACTTCAGGGCTGGCTCGATCGTAGTTGATCTCTGCTATGCTTCAGCTGGCCAACGGCCAAGAGGCCTTCTTCGGAGCTTCTTGGTGCCGGGACATTCCGGGCTTCACGGACAGGTGAGCGTGAGCGCTCTCTTCGAGATAGGCCTGGAGGTGGCCTGATGCTTGATGGATGTCCGTCAAGTGCATTGAGGTTCCGGTGCATAGCCTGCTGCAGTGGTGTAGGCTCAGGTGCTGCTGCCTGTACTGGTGTATTGGGCACTGTTGCTGGGATCATCTCGATCTCTGGTTCGGTGGTTTGTCGTTCTGGAGCTGGCGCTGCTGGTTGTGGTAGCGGAGGTGTTTCTTCTTCCTCAGGGATCACTGGCATGTGATCTGGAGGTTCGGATGGAGTATACTCCTCTTGAGGTGTTTCCTCTTCATCAGGTGGTCCTTGGCCACCAGGTACTTCAATGTACCCAGGTTGTCCTTCACTCCAATCGCGAAGCCGGTAGTCGTCAGAGAAGGGAATGTGTTCCCGGCCGCGTTCTTCTTCTTGGAGTGCCTCCCTCATGCGTTTTCTTGATGGACGTAGTTCCAAAAGTCGTTTGGTGAAGATCTCGGTGCTTGAAGCTGGACGCAATGAGGTTTCTGAGGCGACAACCGGAACTCCAGCATGGATCAGCCAAAGAGTGGCCCTTCCTTCTCTTCCAATGACACGTGCAGGGCCGCACCATCGTCCTCGTCGATGGAAGCACACGAGATTGCCAGGGACATAGTTCGTGCGGACAGGTGTGCTTTTCCTCAGGAGGGCTGATCTGATTCGTCGGCTGGAGTCAACCTTGCTGAATGAATGCCATCTTGGCTGCCTGTCGGATCTGCAGGCGGAGGGCAAAGGTGTCTTCAGACTCTTCGATCTCTTCCTGAACTGGAAGGTAGCGCCCTTCAGCTTCTTCACTTGTGAGTGAGGTCTCATCCACAGGCAGTTTGCCAAGCACCCATTGGTAGGGAGTGAATCCTTGATGGTTCACACGCATGTTCTTCACTCCGCAGGTTTCGGAGATGAGGGTCACGTTGTGGGTGCCAATGATGTTGCGTTCCTCCATAGCCGCATACATCAGTTCCTTGAAGATGCCGCCTTGGCGTTCTCCTCTGCCGAGTTGGTATGGAGCTTCCAACCCAGTCTAGCGGATGGAGATGCCATGAATGCGAAGCATGTCTCGCACGCGGCCCTGGTTGCGCATGCCCTTGTCGCAGACAACGGATTGAGGTGGTCCAAAAGGTGCAATCCAGCCACTGATGAAGGCTTCTGCACAGACACTGCTTTTGGGAACTCCTCCTCCAGCGACCCACCAGCATTGATGGTAGAGGGCGCCAATGTCAACAGCTGAGAGGATGGTGTGTCGGTTCCCTGCCTTGTCTTTGATCTCAAGGCAATCCAAGCTCACCTCATGGTTGAAGGTGTAGCGGTTGGGCATCTTGGTGACGTTGGGCCTTTCCAGGGGCTGTCTTTTGCGGCAGGCTTCACAAGCAAAGGAGCGGCAAGCATCAATCACCGCCGGTGATGCGTTGGCTGTTCTGAGCAGTTGAACCATACTTGCCGGTGAGCTATGGCCAGTCATAGTGTGCAGTCTTCGAAGTGCCAGCCTGGTTGGTCTTGGCAGTTTGAGCCACTTTTGTCGCCGCTCACGTTCCAGATCCATCTCTTGATCAGCGGCCAACGGTGATTCTTCAGTTGTTCTTGTCGTTGGAGTTCATCAGGGCTCAGATGATCTGGTAATAGATCTTGTTGAGGCGCGAGGTCACGTTCATCTTGGATGGTGTCCAGAACTCCAAGATGTAGATCATCTTCTTCTCGCCCTTCATCCAGGCTTTCGAGGTGAAATGCTGCACTGAGGTTCCTGTTTTCAAGTTCTGCCACAAAGCCATCAAGCATGGCTTGACAGAGTTGCTCTGGCCATTCTTGAGCTCGCTTGGTGCGCTGTCCACCTTCAAGGTGTTGGTGAGGATGGCTGCGATCACATCGAACGTTGAGACGTTCTTTGACCTCCTGACTGGCTGTCAGGAATCCAGTGGGCTTGTAATGCAGCTCGCCATTGATGTGATCCTTGAGGTCGAACATGCACTGATCACAGCGCACAAGCTCAAGCTGTTGGAGGCTTTCGTTGTCATAGAGATGCTCTTCCATCAACTTCATCATGTGGAAGCAATTCCAGAACTCACTGGTCCAGGGGTTTTCGATCAGCACCTTGCGGCCTCTGGCTAGCCGTCGACGAACAAGCCCTCGGAGCCATTTGGTGAATGGAAACCAGCTGTCTCGCTCACGGAGGATCTTTTCCTTGGTGACATCATTCTTTGACATGTTGAGCCTCGACCAGGGTCCCCATGGTCCACAGACCGGGCTGAAGGTGATGACGTAGGGGTCGAGTCGGTCAATCTCTGCATCCAGTTCCTGACGCACGGATGGCTTGAGGAGATCACTGCCATCCAGGTTGAGGTCAACAGGTGCCGCAACTGGTAGTCCTTGATTGGCCGCGATAGAGCTCAACAGGGCTGCACCAGCAAAGATCTCCAGGAGGAAGACCTTGCAGCCGCGAGGAAGGCATATGCCAGAGCGACGTCCACGTCGTGGTGCTGATTGGAGCTGAGACCACATTGCTTGGTCTTGTTGGTCAAGTTCGCCAAGTTCTTCTTCAAGTTGGCGTTTCTGGCCTTTGGTCAAGGTCTTGGGTTGTTCTTCATCAAGTCGGAGATGCACCTCGGTGGTGGTAGATGTTGTTGAGGCCGGTGAGGTCGGCTCTTCGGATCCATAGTCCGTCTCGACATCGGTGTCAGTCGAGAGTCATGACCGGATGTCATGCCAAGCATCGCTATCTGCGATGGGAGCAGATGTAGTCCAAGAAGTCCGTTGAGGTCGATGACCTTGAGGTAGCCGCCAAGGAGTCGGCTGTAGACCTTGTCCGGGGTGTTGTCATCGCCAAGATTGACCTGCAGCTGAAGTCGGCGTTGGTCTTTGATGGACAGCAAGAGTGGTGCATCGCTGTTGCAAAGTTCAGTGCTGTCGATGGTGCCAACGGCAAAGCTGTCTTCTTGGGACTCCAATTGGAAGCATACTTCAAGCCTTCTGGTTCCTGAGGTGTTGACTTGTCCGTTGATGCCCTTGATGCTGGATGTGGACTGCCGAAGTTCACAGGGCTGAACATCAGGACCAATGGCTTGTTGATATCGCTGCATCCAGCGATCACCATGACACGTCCGGTTGCATCCGGAATCCAGGATTGCGAGCAAGTGGGAGGCTCTTGTGGTTCATCAGGTTGTCCTGGTAGGTCATGGTGTCCTGAATCGTGTAGTCCTTGTTCATCATCATCATCATCATCATCATCATCATCATCATCATAGGCCATGTAGGCCGCAGGAGATCCATGGTAAGATGAAGGTGCCCTCGGTGGTGTCCGTGGCGGTGTCCATGGTTCGCCCTGAGCTGCCTTTCCTTCATGCCTCGGCTTGAACCTTCATTCACTTCTTGGAGGACCCATTCAACATAGTTTTCATCCTGCCAGGCATACCAGAACGGGTGTCCTTTGTGCTTGCCGAAGGTGATGGTCTTGGTGCCGTGGAAGTAGAGCACATCGGACTGATCCCTTGGAGGTGGTGCCTTGGGCGTTGAAGTCCTTGAGGGTGCCGGCATTTGAGGCATGGTTGGCATCTGAGTGTAGTCCGGGCTGAAGGTGTCCAGGTTCACGGACACTGCATCAACGATCCGGTGGATCTCTTCAAGGCTGAGGACGCCATTGTTTTCCTTCATCTTGATGTTGGCGATCATGAGGGCAGAGCGCAAGAGCTCATGGACAGACTTGGTGTCGAACTGCTTGTTGTCATGAACAGGCTGTCCAATGGCTCCACGAAGAAAAGTCTCTTCATTGACTCGTAGATGAGGTGGCTTGGGGATGTGCTGATCAGACCAGGAGCCACGAGTGACCTTGCCACACAGTCAAGGCAGGTGTTGTGCCAGTTGATACCATTGGAGCCTCTCCACGTGCATCTGTTGTGATTGCACGGAGTGTTGGTGAATCCAGGAGCTCCCTCAACTGGTTGCGCATTCTTGCCAACAATCATCTTCTTCTCATTCTTGAGGAGTAGCCCGCAGTCAAGGCATGTCTCCTTGAGGTAGTAGCCGTTGCTGCCCTTCTTGGTGACACGCTCGTGAGTGCATGCCTGCTGCTGAGGTGTTGCCGGTGCTGAGGATGTGACATTGGAGCTGGTAGAGCCCGGTGCTGGCTCTTCAGGGATGTTCTCCTCCTCAACCTCCATGTCCATCAAGGTGCTGAGTACCTGATTCACAAGGACTGGTGGTACATGAAGTGGCAATGCAATCGGCTGTGGTACTTGTGCAGGTGGAGGTTGCTGGACTGGTTGTCCATGGCTGACCGTAGGATGCATGAGGTCAGGCTGACGTGGAGCTTGTCCGGCAAACTGAATCCCTTCAGGAGACATCACACAGAGGTCCTCGGGGTTGTGGAGCGTGAAGTCCAGGACCTGATCGGCTGTCCAGCCGCGTTGATATAGCTGTTGAACAAGCTCCTGAGTGGCCATTGAATCCTGCACCGATGCCATGATGGAGGGTGGCATCTGATGGAGTGCGGCATTGATGCCATGTGGAGCAGGCGAAGGCTGACCTGCTGGTGCTGAAGACTGCATAGACGGTGTCCTCGATGAAGGCGCTTCTGAAGAACTGGGTCCCGTTCCAGGTCCAGTGCCGCCGGTGACCGCCATGAGGCATACGTCTTCGTTCACAATCTCATAGTCTTGAGGACCATCGTGCATGGCGAAGTAGACCACCCGAGTCTTCGGTGGTCCGCTACCTTTGGAGCCCTTCTTGCCATGCTTGCCGGAGGATGCCGTGGTCGATGAGGAGAAGCTCTTCTTCGAGTTGCCATCGCCCTTGCCGGTGCCTTTTGGGCATTGAGGGTCACCTGACCAGTGACCTCGTTGACCACACTTGCGGCACTCGGTCTTGCTCTTGAGCTGCTGAAGGCGGGCACGCTTCTCCTGCAAGGACAGTGAGCCAGAGACTTCAAATTGTCGAGAGCCACTGAAGCCGCCGTGGCCCTTGCCTTTTGCTTGGCCTCTGACAAAGTAGGCCTCGTGTTCCAGCTGGATGGCTTCGGCTGCCAATGCACAAGCCTCCTCATTCTGCATGTCCAGACCTTCGTCGATGAAGTAGGCCGTCCACTCGGCCAGGAGATCAGACCCATCCGAGTCTTCATAGCTGAGGTAGGTGGAGCACTCATCATCTTCTTCAAAGATCTCAGTGAAGCCTGCAAGGGACTGAGAGGTCGTCTCCCAATCTTGAGGCTCCTCATAGTGCTCTTCATCCACGTGGAAGGCCTTGTGGTGAAAGCCTTTGCCTTTGGGTCTCCAAGATCCTTTGAAGCTGCCAGGATGCCGTCGAGGTAGCCGTTCACGTTCGTGAAGTCGAGGATGTTGGTTGAGCAGTTCATCTGCCACCAAATCAACTTCCATCTTGCCTCTCAAGGTGGTGCGAATCATCAGCTTCTAATCCTCGCTGAGGCCGGCATTCTGGAGGATCTGTTCTGCGAGGATCCCTTCGCTCACAGCCATGCTCGGGTCGAGCTGCTGGAGTTGGCGCCACCAGGTTTTGCGCCGGAGCACGTAGCTGGCAACAGGTTCACCATGTTGCCGTGACATCATTCCGCCATCACGGGCGCCGATGGCGTACAGTTCACGAGCTTCTTGCTCTCGTCGAGGCCTCAGGTTCTTCTCGAAGAGGGTGATCAGGATCTCTGGGGCTTCCGACGAGGCAAGCTTCGCTGGTTCGATCTGCTGGGCCATCTTCAAAGCTTGGCCTCTCAGGCCTTCGACCAGCCTCAAACCGAGTGGTCCGAGCTTTTTGATCTCACCTGCATCCATGTGAGATTCTCGCTGCACCCGGGCCCTCACCCGGTAGGTGTACTCATTGAGAGCACTCGGCTCTCCGCTGAAGCGGGGGACGCCGAACTTCGATTCCGTCATGTCGTCCGCCACCATGGAGGTGGCTGTCGCCACTGAGGCTGCGTCATAGCGCAGCCCTTCCAGAAATGCCGCCATGGCACCTCTGGCGAAAGCAAAGGGTCGCGTCGCCGGATCGAAATCCAGCTCCGCTGCCAGTATGAAACTGACAGCGGCCGGAGGGACGCACGCTTTTCACGCGCGAGTCGGGTCGCTTGAGCCATGCATTGCATGGACAGTCACACCTGGCAACCAGTGATGGGAAAAGGCACTGGTGCATGGACATGAACGGTCATGTATTGACCATGTTGGCTTCATCGTTTTCACAACGGTGTTCCAAGCCACTTCAAAGCCTGCATGGCCTCCAACTCCAAATCGACAAATCCAAAGCGACAATGCACATCTGCCGATGATGAACCGATGCAAAGGCTGGACGTCTTGTTCTGGCTAAAAGCAGGACCCACGATGAAGTTTCTCAGGTAAAACTGCAGGTACGCCGAGTTGATCAGACTCGGTATCCCATGATTGTGGTAGCTTCATTGAGTGCGGTCCCACAATCATGCTGCACTCCCCTGCAAAAGGAAATTCAAAACAGTCCAAAAGGAACCTCGTGACTCCAGAGGGGACACACGCACACACACACACTCGGAAATAAGTACGTTCAGTGACTTCAAGATACTTGAAGGAAATCTTTCTCCTGGGCATACCAAAGCTCCACCAGGTTTGGATACTTCTCTTGCAATTGCTCAAAGAAGCTGTGGGTTTCCCCTCAGCAAGGGAAGTTCTTACTCGAAGCCAAACATGGCTTTGATGTCCGGATAGGTCAGCATAATCTCAGCGTAATCAGCAAACTGATGTGATCATCATAATCTACATTTTGGATGTATCCAAGCTGATCTGTCCTCAAAATATTGTCGTGTCCTGATCCTATCGCAAGCGAGGAGCTGTATGACCTGTATTTGAAGATCCGGTCTTGGTTCGGAGTGCCAAAGCTGCAGGGCAACAGGAGTGCCAGCGCACTGAGCCAAGGCGCCTGCAAGGATTCAGTGACATGAAATCCTCGAAGCACCATTGAGTGATCAACAATCCCTTGTGCCAACAGGTGCGAAGTTGCTTGTAAAAAAGGGGTTAGTGATTTATATAGTGTGCGAGTGACAGTGAGTGTGCATTGATGACATTGAAGTTGGTTGAATTCTGTTTACCTATCACTTGTCCGCGCTGCATGCGCCTGGAGCCACATAGCCGATTCACCATCGGCATCGGCGCAACTTGCACCACTCTGATTGCTGCTGACTGGTACTTCCAGTGCAGAAAAAATACACTCAAAACCATGAGGGTTCTGGTATAGCTGGGTGCTGAATATATCCTTATACCAGTGGCTTTGGGCTCTTTATGACGGTGTCCTTTTTCTTTTAGGACAGTGTCCTTTTTCTTAACGCCATGGCCCCGGGGCCTCTTCCGCAATGGTCGATTCTCGGTGAATAGGGATCTCTACAAGAGTTGAAAAGTCTCAATGTGGTTCAGTGCATATGTTCTTCTTCTTCTTCTTCGTCTTCTTCTTCCTCATGTTTCTGTATAAAAGTGTTTCTTTTGAGAGCTGAACATAAAGGCATTCGCAAGGATTCAAGCAACTTGCCTTTATAGAAAACAATACATGAATACACAATTATAAATCTAAACAAGAGATGTAAGTTAGGTGACAGGTGCACTTACTTCATATGCTTCAAAGCAGTTGATCGGAAAACAACTACACTGGGAGGCTGCATAGATCACTGTGATGATCTCCGGCAGCCAGTACTAGACTTAACTTATATAATCAAATGTAATCTTATATATGTAAAGCAAGTTGTAGCTGGGGATCTACCTGGATCTAATCAACAGCAGCATGAGGCCTAACAGCCTGCCAGGATTTGAGTCAAGTAGAGTTACGTCTCCTTGGAAAAAAACTGGAGTGCTCAGCAAATCAAATTGGGATTTGGACAACGTCTCCAACCAAAGACATCTTAGGCTCGAGGTGCAAACTTGATGAAGTCGCACATGTTTTCCTGTGTGCTGGTGAATGGATTCAACAATCCTTGGAAGAAACCAAGCACCATCTCCCATGGCCTTGGAGCCCGCATCACTTCCAAACAAGATTGGGACTGAATGGTCCTTTCAAAAACCTGATTTGGGTCACACATGTCATGGTCAGTCCCTGTGAGCGTCAGCACCTCATCGGAACGCCAATCTTAAGATTCTGCGATAAGTCAGTGATGAAACATGATTCAAATTCATTCAAATTCCACACTTGTCCAAGCTCAAGATTTGACTCCTGCTTGTAA